TCAAAGACAGCGTAGCCGACAATCCGCTAATGATCCGCATCATGATCAAAACGCGGAAAAATCTTCCTTTGTGCGTAGACGCTTCTCTTCATTAGTGATTCTAGAAGGGCAGAGGCTATCTTTCCCCGAACTCATTTAAGTCCAAAAAATTTTAAAATGCAGTTGGAAAATCAATTGGCACTTACTGTGGGTTGTCAGTCAGATATCGTTGATAAGAGAAATTGTTACCAGGGACTTCAGCATGCATTTCAAAATTGTGGGAGTGTCAGACTCAATGACATTGTCAGGAGGTGAGTAGATTTCGATGACAGCAGGACTTTGCGACGCCGACTCTCACGTATTTGCAAACATCCCAGGAATATGGTGTATATAAAAGGCAACTAGAATTTTCTCTCGCTAAATCAATGAATGAATTGCCAGTTATCGGATCCTCGTGTTTTCGCTAAAGTCTCTTGGATCGTCAGGGGGCAAACGTTGCAAGCTACTACAAGAAAGAGTTTGGCGAATTTTCGCCGCCGTTTTTTCAGGAATGGATTTAGCCAACGTTTATACGAGAAAAATGTAAGTTATTGTTTGAATATTGGAACCATTATTTCGCCGGGCGAATAGGATAGGATAGGACTTATCTTCAAGCACAGAAAGTTGGTGGCAGTGTGTCTAGCATAGCGGCATTAAAATCGTCCCTGGCACACAATTTCGTTCGAACTGATCCCAAATTAATTGGATAACTTTGACATTGCTGCATCTTTGTAATATATTCCGGCGGCCTCTTTGCCCCGGCCACATTGTAACCGGTTATATAACATACACGCTCGACCGCTAGATAATATCGCTTCGTAAGCGATGGTCGAGCGTTGATCATGTAGAGGACTAGTCTAACAGAGGACCCACTGCTCCTTTGGCAACCTTCCAACATTGTATGTGTTTGGAAATCAGCAACATTTATTTTTTTTGTAAAGGACAAGGGCAATGGGTCTTTTTACGTCCTGTTACTGATCGAACTAAACAGATCACAGACCTAGCAGATTGAGGACTGAATCAAATCCAACCGAGCCCGAGGTATCAACCAAGCCAACTTAGTGACATGTATTTAGATCGTATTTACGTTTTAGGATCTTCTTCATCGAAGCGTTGGACTGTTTATACGTGAAAATTTGAAGCTCCCTGTCCACTTGGTTTACTAACACGAATACAAATACGGCCATGGAGAAAGTCCCTGGAAACGGCGAGATTTCCTCTTTTCAAAGATTTTTCCCTTTTTGGACTAAGTGATGTTCTCTCTGGAATTTTCTGTACATTTCCTGGAATTTTAGAGCTAATAAATAGAGAGTTGGTTTACGGAACTTTGATGACGTAGACCAAAAAGCGGTCAGTTAGATGTAAATCTCACGTCAGCACGGGTAATGAAATGAGTTGCCCCAAAATTTTATTACTGATTTTGCAAGTCCAGTGATGGCTTTCACTGCCCACGTAGGAACTATGATCAGAAGTGGTTGGTCATCGTAGATATTGTGCTTTAAAATACCCTTATTTTTGGACTTTGTCAAAACCCGAAAAAGTCTTCTCTACTTAAGAGAGAGGTAAGGGAAGAAATGATGTGGAAAATTTAAAACAGTTTAATGCTCTTAAAGGCTGGTAGATGTAGAACACAACCCACCTTTCAACTTCGACTTTACTTTATTTAGCACTCAGGTTTTCGTTACAATATTAACATGAAAAAGCAGGAAAGGATACATGTCTAAAAAATTAAAGGTAACAGTGTTCCATTGTTCGTGCATGGAAGCTAAGAAAACCGCGTGGTTATTGAGTCAGCCTCCATCTCTTTTGGATTCACATAGAAGAAACTGGGAGTAGAGGAATTGTGGAAGACTTACGTTTGAGATAACTTGAATGATAGATACTTTTAGCATTTTCTTAGCACTTTTGAATGATAGATAGTTTCAGCACTTTAACCCAGTTAATTAACTCAGTTAATTGAATTTGGAGATGGCTTTTCGGTTTGTCACAGCAGCAATGCAAAGTTAGTTAATATGTTATGTAAAAATGTCGGTAATGGGGTTTTTCCCAGGGGGACCCTATATCTCCCAGGGAATGAAATCTTTTGACCTACTATTTTTACACATTTGTTAACTCATGATACTTAGAATTTGAGCCAGGTTTGAGCGAAATCGGGGATTTGAACATTATCAGCCCCTGCCCGGTTTCCTGTGGACACGCTCTTCAAAGCTGAACTGCACTCTACTGTAATAAGAGAGAAGTGGTAAAAAGGTATGCATATAAACAACATAAACTTGAGATCCTCCACTTTGAATTTAAGCGCAAAGTTTTTCACCAGAGGTTAATTTCGTGGCCACCAAAATATCAGTCATCGTTTTCTTTCACTATTTCCACTGAGCCATACGTTTCTTCATCATTACTCAAACCAATGGCCATAAATACACGGATAATCGATACCCAATCACATAAATGGTTATAAAGAGTGTCGTGTATAGTAGCATTTCTATTTCACCTCACCATCACCCCTAAATGAAACATAAGGACGTGGGATTTAAGAAAGTGATGTTTAACTAGTGAAGTGCCTGATCGTGGAACAAATTCTCCAGGAGAACATGCACTCTGATGCCAGGGTGTAAAGAGTTCAGTAGTTTCCTAATGTTTGGGCAGGCAGACTTTCATCGGAGGAGGGCAACAACTTTCCTGTAATTGACTGCGCAGGAGACGATAATTAGAGATAATTACTTGTGCGCGTTACAACTTGGCTAACGAGTTTTTATATTAATTCTCACAGCATCGAATAAGACTAGTATTATGCCATTCAAGCTGGAACCGATGTTGCCAGAGACACGCGACAAGTTTTTCCGTTACAATGGATCTTTAACCACTCCCAAGTGTGATGAGAGCGTCACCTGGACAGTCTTCAAAGACAGCGTCAAAATATCAGAGACTCAGGTGTGTTATTTGATTTTGATTCTTTGACCGCTACGAGTG